TGAATTATAATATTTGAAAGCATATTCACTATACTATTACTGCTTAATAATAATCTGAAATCTAAAACAAAACGTGAAATACGTTTATTCCGATTCCTGACTTCACTCAATGCATACATTTTTCACACAAAGACTACAATATTTCAAAACAAAAATTTTTATATTATATTCAAAATTTCATATTCAAGAAAACTTTTCAACCGTAAGATTTATGTGTGAATTGGATTTGCATAGCATTTGGATCAATATTTTTGCAAACTTTCATCGGTTACAATACTAAATATATGTAATATGTATAATATTAATATGTCTGCATTCAGAATAATACATAGCTCTGAATAAATTGTTATGTCATTAGATTAGATTAATTTCATTTTACACAACATTATTACCAATCAATCAATTCTTAAACCAGAATTCAACACTATTTCCATAACACAAACACATTTTGTATTTTGTATTGATTTATTAAAAATTATGAATAAGTTTTATGAGTCATTCAAAAACAGTAATTTGTTCACTACTATGTAATATCGCTAATGTATAGCAAAATGACTGATCGATCGCTTTTTTGCTTCAAGATTATTGTAAAACATTAAGTCATTTAAATCTAATTACATCTAAATATTTGTGTATATATTTAATTACATCTCTAATTAGACGGTCAATACAAATCGATAAACAATTTATGACAAACTTTTCGCAATGTGTTGAGAAATTAGAGCATTTATTCATTGATTTATTTTATTTATTCAATTATATTAATTAAAATGTCTTGATATCAAATCATAATAACCGATAATATGGTCTAATTCTCAATCAATTTTCACATTTTAATGCATAAAATTTCCAAATAGTATTCAAGTATTGACTAAATTATACACTTTTCGTTGTAACCAAATGTCAAAACTGATTGCACGAAATCAACATAATCTAAGTTTTTTAGTCTTTGTTTAGATAAGAGGTCAACAAAAGCATGAAATGTTAGTTTTTAAGACATTTTTCGTAATTTAAACCGAAAATCACAATAAATCGATTACTCAATTGACCGAGATATTTGAATTTATCTCGTTTTTGTCTACCATTTCCATGCATTGTAGTCAATATTTTTGATTGAGTTTCTTAATTCAGCAAAAATTAATACTTTTATATAAATCAATAAAAACAGCTATTCTTATATTTTATGTTTTCTTTTCTCTAAATCTCTAAAGATTTCAAAAGAAATGACTTTTCAATGCAATTGAGTGGACGATGTCTTGCAATAAAATCTTATTTCCAATAATTTCTCATTTATTGATTTTATATATTCAGTAAACTTTTATTTTATTGTTGTTTATATGACTCGAAATAAAATGTCAAAAAAGTGAAAATACTTTTTTTGCTGATGGGATGGCCATAACAGCTATAATACAAGTCATTGAATCGTTCAAAGTTTTTACTGTAGTTTGTTATCAAACACTGAAATCAAATTACTCTAAACATAAGGGATATAAAGGATGTGCAAAGAGTGGGAGAACTTTCGGAATCAATGCATTGCTTCGCATCCCTATCCCTATCTCTACTACTTATAAAACATTCAACTCTTATCAACAAATCATTCTCCTATTGATTATTATTGCAGTTTAGTCTTCAATTCAAATGAGTGAGTGAGGGAGAGTGAGGGTGAGAGAGAGAGAGAGAGAGAGAGAGAGAGAGAGAGTTTGCACTACAATAGAAATGATTGCAATCGAAAATGAATGGAAAGTGTTTGCGATTATTGAATGGTTTTAAGTGTGAAGTAAGAAAACTGAGTGTTGAGACCAAAAATACAAAACAAGCAAATAGTATATAAAAGTGTGTAATAGAAGGCAAACGTTGAAACATTGGTTCACTTTAAGCAATATTCTGGTGAAACAAAGTCGACTTCAATTCACTCATTGGACGCTCACTTGTATTCATTGAATCGATTTGTTTTCACAAAACAATTGTCTGAAGCGCTAAATGTTGCGAATATAATCAAGAGTGCAATAAAAGTTAATTGGAAAAGGTTTACATGTTTAATGATGAGCCCACACTTGCCCTCTCCCTGTCCTCTCTTTATATTTGTGAATATCATTAGTGAATAATGCAATTGTGATGAGATGTGCGCATAATTTGCACTTTCATTCAAACAAAAAAATATTTATGCTTTGAATTTACTTTCGGATTGAAAAGCAGTTTTCAATTCAATTTTGAGTCGAGAGAAAGAACTGATGGAATTGTTCTGTAAATTGCTTTTGCAGTACATTATAAATGTTTGAAACTTTCCATTTGATAGACTTTAGATTTATGTCACCCGACGCTCACACACCCCAACCCTCCACATCACTATAGCCTTACAATACTGTATAGAATATGTATTACTCATCCGATTCTCTATTCAAAAGAGTAATATTGCAAATGAATACCAGAATATGGGATAAAATATATGAATAATCGACAGAATCGACAGGAAATTAATCGAATTAAATGGGATTCCGAGTCAAACATATCTATAATTGATTTGAAGGAATCAAATGATTACAAGAACTCAAAACCGATTTCATTGGCAACCATAAGGTTTGTTAATAAAACATGAGTTCATTATTTGATTTACTCAACAATTCATTCATTTATTTTTCATGTGAAATTATTATCGAGTCCAATGCATAATTCAATTACTTGAAACACTGTCATTATATGTATTAAAATCAATAATATCTCATACTTTGAATTTGGTTTTGCTTTGGCATAGACTGCCAGTCGATGCATAGGTTCGGTGTATATTTGGTGTATAAGGAAACACATCAATAAAGCATTAATATTGCAACTTATGATTTATGAGTTTCTATTATATTTAAGTGTTTTATATCATTAGTAGTTTTTCTTATAAAACACACCATTTGGTCCAACTGTTCATAAGTTTTTACATTTTGTTGAACTATTCATCCGGAATAACATCACTAAGAAATTGAGTTAAACTTTGCACTTAAAAACAGTCGAAAACTTGAGACTAAAGCCATTCATTGCAACACTAATGCGCTTATTATTCATTAACTTTAATTAACGTCTAGTATTATAGTATATATTAATATATTTGACAATAAGTGTCTCAAAAATTGGATCATTCATTACAATATTGTTGGACCAAATAATCGCATTATATCTGCTCTTTTCATCTTATAATCGATACTAAATACTAATGTATGAAAATATATGAATACTATGCACTCATTCACTACATAATACACTATTATTTTACACTATATAACATGTGCTCAGAATTTAATTAATTTTAAATATCTGATAATTACATTTAGTAAAAACTTTTTAATATTTCCATTTTATACAACCATTTCATGTAATTTAAAAAAAATAGAAAATTGAAATAAAAAATGCATCACATTTTGCGATAATATTTTATGCAAAACTATTTTTATTGTTTGCTTTTTTCACACCTGGAGTTTATAATGCATTCAATTTTCCCTTTGATTAACATTTATTGTGCAAATTCTGTACAGTTATATGAATATAAATATATAAATATTTTATTTTTGTTTAATTCTCATAAAGATATTAAATATCAAAAATATATTATTCCTAATGAATATAAATGTCATAAAACAGAGTCAGTAAATGGCTTTTAAAATAGATTACACTTTAAAGAAGTTTATATCAATTATTATGACATTTTAGTCTATTAATAAATGCAAATAATTGTCGTTTTATTTAAAATGAGTTCACAATTAATCTCTACGAAGTTTCTAATTTATTAAATGAAAGACAATTATTTAAAATCATTTCTGAACTCTTTGTATAAATAAAGTGAAATTTAATGACTTGTGGTCTCAATGTTAGAGATAACGTGTTCTTAAATCATACACTATTTTAAGCCCTAATCTCCTATTCTTATTCTAGATCCCAGTCATCCACTGATCTTTTCATACAATATTCAGTTATATTAACTTTTTTGCGACACATCTCTGAGTATAACTTTTTTTCCAATTCAGTGAAGCGAAATATAGGGATTTATATGTTGGAGGCCTGGGATCAACTCCACTCTCATTGGTATCCACAAAAAGAGATGATATGGCGTGCGCTCACAGACAATAAGTTTAGTGTCTCTATTGATGGCATATAAATGGGAGAGAGAGAGAGAGAGAGAGAGAGAGAGAGAGAGAGAGAGAGAGAGAGAGTCAGAACTCACGCAAATTTAAGTTCATATAAAATTCATTGAAACTATAGAGAAGTGGTTTCCAGAAATCCAATCTCACGTATTGTATAACTCGACTCAAACACACAACTCATACCACTCTCTCCTCAAGAGTGCAGAGACTTTGAAAAAATAAATAATTTTTTCTTTCATTTCATTTTTGTAGCAAAACTTTCTAAGATATATAAAAACTATTCATTCATTCATTCAGTGTTTCTCTTATTGTGAACTGAATTTTAGAAAGAGTCCAAAAAGTATTGAATTGTGTTTAAGTGTGGTCTCAGTGGACATAAAGAGCCAAATAAGAGCCATTAGTTTTAGCACCTCTTGTGTAGTATTCTTCTAGTTTTACACAACAATAGCTTTATTTCAGTATTAAATCAGTTAGCATTCAATTGGCCTAAAATGTCTCCTCCATTGGCTAATAGACCGAAAAATGATTACTTCTTTAGATTCTAAAGACACTAAATATGGGATATATTTTTGGATCATATTCTGACTTCAAATGTTTGACTCGTTTGTGACAAATACAACACTCTCTGTATGTCTATGTATTCGTTCGTTTCGATCCAATCGACCAAAACATGAGATGAGAAAAAGGAGACGATTTTGTTTCCGTTGCCATCGACTCACGAACTGAATATATAATAGTATATAAGGGCTCACAAACGCCCTTTCCATCCACTCCGCAACCAATACTGTTTGCCATTATTACAGAAAATGTCTTATAATGTGATATATCTATCACACAAAACAGAAAATTATGACTTTTATCACAAGAATCTCATTTTTAAAACCAATCAAATGATTGCAACACTTTTGGTTGGGTCTGATCGGGGTTGGTGTGCGGGGGTGTCGTAAACCCCTGGACACACAGTCTCTGGAAAAAAGGCAACATATCGTTGAACTCGTAGGAAACGGGCGAAAGTATTTTGATTGACGAGTCACACGATTCGCGATTTTTATAATCAAAACGAATAGAGTAGAGCACTGGTAGGCAATTAGTTGACGCCCAACGCTATGCAGTTAATCACAGACAGGCACTACTCTATTGATATGTTGTGTGTATGGTATGAGTATTGGGTTTGATGTAAGGGTTCCAACGGATCCATAATTAGGTATACGTTCAGAGATTGCAAATTTAGTTGAGTGTGAAATATATCTCAATAATTAGTGACTGATATAAACATTAAAAAATATAATTCTCGCGTACAGTCAATGAGATTTCTATACAGTACTGTATATAGATTTTGTTGTGTGAACTGCACTATAATTATTAGATATTCGTAATCATAATAATAAAAGCGCCGGTCATTAGGCAAAGACATGAGACAAGACTAGTGGATAAAAATAGACAAATCATTAGATAATTACTTATTATTATTCAAATAATATATACTGTATATAATGTAGCACACTATACAGTACATGTAAAAACTAATTCATTGAAAAATAGTTTGATTTAGAAAATCAATTAAAAAAAGATGAGTAATACTAGCAATAAGAACACTGTTATGGGAAACAATAAAAACTAATTTCCCTCTTATATTGTATTGACTTTTGCTAATAAAATACTGTATAATAAAAGGCAGTCATTATTGGGCACAACAGTTGAGTTGTTCACATAAAAGAAATTTTCGTTCTTTAATCGCATCAATCATTTCAAATCATATCTGTCTTTGAAATTAAATTTTATTAACGAAAGACAAGCGAAGGAAACAGAAATTGAATTCCATTTCTCCAGATATTAAACAAAAATTTCTTTATTAAACATTTTGTTCCGATTTTTTTCATTAGCGAACGAGAAAACAAAGAAAAAATAATTTTTAAATTTAATTAAAACAACACATGATTTTTGTCTCAACAGAGCAATTCATAGAAATATATTTAATTACAATTAATTTCCATATTTTCAAAATTGGCTAAAATTAAGACTCAAAGCAAGAAGAATGAAAGAAATCAAGAAAAATATAAGAGAAATGAGAGTAAAAGAGAGAGAAGAGGGAACGGGAGGGCTGTTTGTGTGATGAGGCAAAAAGCCATTAGAGTTAATACCCGATGGGAATCCATAGGAGCGACAATAATGGGACTTTTGAGACAAACACTTGCATTAATCAATGGATAAAATAAACTAATCTTAACTTTAAATTAGACATAAATTCTTTAAAAACGATATAAAAAATCTGAAATATAATAGTGATTCGATTGAGACAATAGTTTGCGAGTAAATATAATTGATATCTTATGCTAAAACGAGTCCCAATTTAGTCAAATGATTTCGACATAGTATTGTCAGCTCAGACATGTCGTCCACCACTTCTTCCAACACGTAATTCACAAATGTTGACCTAAAGTGATGTCAAAATATTAATTAATATAAAAACTAAAATGTTAATTTATTTAAAACATATTTAATGAATTCATTTAGTAATTGATTCACTAATACATTAGAGACAAACAAATGAAATTCAATCAATTATTACTAAAATGTATTCAACTTTCAAATTGTGCTCAAATTTTTAATAAAACCAAACAATGAGTTGACTATAATTATGCGATAATCAGTATAAAAAACACTTTTATATCCATTAGCGCTGCGTTTATCTAATGATTTCTTTCCTAATTAAAGCTATGACTGCAAGCAATTGTTTGACATTCAGTCTATACCTTACCATGTATTCAATCTAACACTACAATGCTATACAGAATAATATTGCACTGTAAGTATGCTGTATCAGAATATTCTCAAATATTCTGTACAGAATAATACTGTAATAACTATTGTTTCATTAAATTTCAATGCATTGCGATCAAGATATATAGAAACAGTTATAGTGTATTGTCTTTTAATGGACTTTCATTAAAATAGGTATCATTTGAGAAAATATTCAACGAGTAATGAAAAAGTATTGCAGTCATCAATGCAGTGATTTATAAGCAAAAATACAAACCATTTTGATTTGTTTTCCTCTTTTATATCCAATTTCTCGCATTGATTTATAAACGACTCAATGATTGCCTTTCCATACTATCGGTCACAAAAACATAGCAATTCATTATTTTATCATTCATTTCACTTAACCATATATTAATGCTATGTATTCCTACCTCTGATTTGATCACAACAGACATGTTATTAATGTTGGAAACAATTTTGAGAATCACTTCATGATTATTGATGTCTTGGATGGCATTCACTAAATAGTGTCCGAATTGGTCTCTATTTTTCGATTTCATTATATGTTGCCTAAAGTTATTTGCATTCAAGAGATCACTCATTATAACCGCTCTTTGGTTCTCATCCGATAAGTAACTCAACGAACGAAACAACAGAAACAATCCCTTCTTTATTTGAATTACTTCTGGATTTATCTTATCATTCGTTTCATTAGTGAGTCCTCTAAACAGCTTATCGGACAGTTGTTTTCTAGTCTCGAGGTGTGGTATCTGTGCGTCTGGTGGGAGAGCACCGATACGTTTGTCCTCGTCGTCGATGTTGATTAGGACGACATACAGTTTCTCGATATCGAGTAACAGTTTTCTAAACCTCTGAACCTCACTCTTATTGACTATTATTTTGTTATCACTGTTGGTGTCATCTGTGGCGACAGATGTCTTGCTTAGTGGACAGTCTAATAGCTTTCGGGGACAGTTCACGTTGGACACCTGGATCTTGCCGAGGGTTCCCTCAAACTGTTCCGGAGTATATTTCACAGATTCCGACTCAGACACAGTTTTCGGTCGTTCGGGCAGAAGTAGAGACGGCGTTGTCTTCTTGTCCTTATCAGAGGCCGCTTTGGCAGCGATTTGTCGGGAAATATATGTCACATAATAGTAGTCGTCGACATACGGGTCCTTCAACTCAGTCTGGAATTGTTGGATTTTTATGAGCCATTCCTTCTCACGCTGTGTCATAAGACCCGAGTAGTCGTCCTCATTGTCATAGTTCTCATGGTATCGGTTCTGATGTCGAAAATTGTTTTGATAGTTCTGATGATGTCTTTGTTGATGAAATTGGTGCTGCAGTTGCATTGGATG